CATCGCTGGGCAACGGTGGAAGTCCACCGACCGCCTGCCTGGCGGTCTGCTGCTCCCCGGGATCATCGCATCATCATGTGGGCCACGTGGGCCACCCGCTGCCCCACCAACTGCCCCACCCGTCGCTCTACCCGCTGATGGCCGCCGCCCAGCTTGGCTACGCCGGCTCCAGCGGGCCCAGTTCGCTGGTCAATTCGCCCGCATTGGGGAGACGGAAGCGGTACACCAGCAACTCGTCGAACTGCTCCAGTCAGTTCAACAACAACTACGCCGGACTGGACGTCGATTCGCTGGACGACATGTTGAGAAAGGTGAGCTTAACAAGACAAGAAGACAAGAAGGTGTGCCACGCACCATACTCCACACTCCTTAGATTTTCATTTCGGTTTCAGAACGTAAAGCAGTAAAATTTAAATTGCAAACAGCGTATACAAGCTTCGTATCCGTACCTCCTCCTTGAGGATTATTTTAGTTTCTTTGGGAATGCAAAAGCTTGGAAATGAGGCAAATAGGCTCGGACTGTAAAGTCATCTCCCTCCACAAACGAGGGAAATCAACGCTTCGCTGGTTTGGGGTTGAGAGTCTTTAGGCTCAGACTTTCCCCTTTCACTAAACTTTGTGGTTTTCTTGAAGTTCCATTGTTCCGGGCAGTTTTTCAAGGGTTTCCCTCCCTCTTGTTAGCTTCTTTTCCCTGCGTTTTTTTTTCCTTCAGAAAGGCTGTCTGTCTTCGTTTTCTTCGGCTTTCTGTTTGCCTTGTCTGTTTCGACCGCCCCTCGTCCTTTGTCCCTCTGTCCGGTTCGTTTGTCCGTTTGTCTGTTCCGCCTGTCGCAAAGCCATAAATCTTGAGCCTAGTCCGCAAACACAGCGTGCGGTCCTTCTTTTCGGATCCCGTATTCGGATCCTGCGGCTCCTCCGGCGAGCCCCGAAATGTATGCAAAGCTTTTTGCTTGTTTAACATTTTTAAGCCAAGGCGGTGTGCCCGTACCATAACCACATAAACCCGCACACACACACACACACACTATCGCACATACACTCTCTCACACACACAAAGGCATAAAAGTGGGCTTCCCCTATAAATAATATGCGACAAGTTTTGCCGGCCGCATGCGAACAATTTAAATTGTAATGTGCCCCCAAAACCGAGAAAGAAAATGGCAATAGAAAACGGCAATGCAAATGTGAGTGGGCAACCATGTTTTTCATATACTATACGTATAATGTGCGTGTGTGTGTGTGTGTGTGTGTTTGCAGGAGCGATAATGAACTCGACACACGTGCCCAAAGGGGAAAAGCGGAAAAATGCAGCGCTCGGTGCGGTCGTGGTTACCCCTTCTCCCCTTCTCTTCCCTCTCTGTCCATCTCTCTCTCTTTCTCGCTCTCTCTTTCACTCACCTGCGATTGTCGCATTGCCGTTCGAAACACGACGCGGGGAAAACTCGACTGCATTGCATTTGTGGCCGCCATAATGGTGGGACGCTCGATTACTGGTTGGCACAATTCGAAGCGCGTGCATAATGGCAATTTGAGTAATGGTGCCAAATATGCGGACATTTCATTGTTTACCCAACCACCACAGAAAGAGCGGCCCTTCAAATCACCTGAATGGAGGAAGAAAGATTGAGATACAAAATATAACAAAGGAATAGAATATAGGTTGAAAAATACTTTGAAATTCTATTCCAAAAAAGGAGTAGCTCCCATTTAGGATCCCTGAACCACGAACTATGAACTATGACCCGTAGGAACATACTCAGAATCAAAATAATTGGGAACCATAAGAACCCAGTTGGCATCGAAATTAAATGCTTAACTGTGTTGAGTCCGAATTGAAGCAATAACAAGCCAAAACCATAACGAACCTCAAAACTACAATGTCTGTTTAAGGAAAATTCCCGATAAAAAAGCGAGCCCTGAAAGATGGCTATGCCAACTGAAAATATCCGGTCGAAGTGAACTTTCAATAGGCAAGAACCGAACTTAAATCAAAGCAGCGCACACACAAAACTCACAGAATCGGAAACGATGAGAAGAGAACTCCTCTTGTGGTCGCCGAAGCAAACTTTCTTATTTCAAAAACCAAAAACTTTCAAGTGAAACGAGACGGGAAATTGACAAAGAATTTTGAGAGTGCACCCGTGGCTGCCAAACAGGACAAAAGACTCTCCGTCAATGTCGTTCCCAGTCTATTGAGAACCCAACGAATCCGAATCCGAATCCTCTTCCGTTGGTTTAAAGAACTCGAGCGATTGATTTGGTTTCAAAAGAGGCACAGCCCAGCTGGAAATTAATTTTAAGTCTTTTTGTGTTATTTTTTTTTTTTTTTTTTGTGCTTCGATATATCAAAGTTTGAAAAGCAGGATGATTATTTGACGGACACCCAAAACTGCTACAAACTATTTGCACATATTTTCTGTAACCACATTTTGAACATACCTTTCCATTTTTTTTTTTTTTCGTTATTTATCATGGGACCGTGCTAAATATGCTGCACAAAATTGCACAAAAATGTTTGGTTTGTCGAGCAACCCAAAATAATGAATCCGCCCACATACCAAAAGTTACCTATGTCCCACTTTTTTCAGATAAGCAGGAAGGATAAGGTAGGTGGAGGTGGAAAAAGTAATGGGGGGAAGAATGCCCAAAGTGCTCGTTAGCCAACATGCCTGCGTGGCAACAAATAAGCTCGGCCCGCATGGTTTTCCCTTCACTCCAGTTACCTTCTCCCTCCTCCCAATTTTCCCGCTTTTCCCTCATTTATGTGAGTGTGTGAAATAATGTTTTTATAAGTCACCTTTATGTAATGACAATGGGGAATCATTAAATGTCTATTTGAGCATTTTTTATTTCATTCACTGCTCTGCTCCGTCCAATAGATGCGATGTGACTGAGTTATAAGATACCGGCTAAGATCAGAAAGTATGCAAAGATGTTTGATTGAAGGGATACGCAGGGTATTTATTCAGTCCCACATGCTGGTCATACCGCTCGCCCTCTAGGGATATATCCTTGGGTCCTTAGTCCACTTTTCGGCTGCAGCTACGACAAACAAAAGCCAAACTAAACGGAAAAAAAGCAGGCGCCATAAAATGGCTAAGAGCAGGCTAACTCAAAACAAAAACAGAAAGAAGGGTTGTCACTCTCGCCCCGAAAAACAGAAAAACAGTGCGTGTCCATCAGGGGAATTCCCTTCAATTAGGATTAATACTCAAGATACCAAAAGGAAGGCAAAATACGAGCGGAAAAGGAGGAAACGACAGAAAAATCAACCCGAGCAAGAGGAAGAAGTGTCCCTAACTAGGGTAATGTGTTACATGTGTGTTCCTTTTTTTTTTTTTTTTTGAGAAGAGACAGCGAGTGTGTAGGGTTTTCGTTGTGGCAGGAGTGGACAATCCCATTCATCCCTCGAAACCCAAGCCCCAAGCTTCTGGAATGAAGTTCAATTGAGGCATTATTAGTGGAGAAGTTTTACACACTAGACGCAGAGTGAAATTGGGAAATGCAGAATGGAATTCTTGGCCAGAACCTTTTTGGCCCTTTCCCTTAACTTTGACGAGGGACTGACGCGATCCTGGTTTTCGGTCTGTTTGTTTGTTGGCTTTTTTTCTCGAGCTTAAATTGCTTAAAAGTACAATTTATCACAATTGCCAATTGGATGACCTCTCTTGGTCCTTCTCTCCGTTTCTCCGTTTCTCTGACAACAACTTGACCGACTTTTGGACCTCCTACGCCAGTTTTTACCCAGTTTGCCTCACCTCCATCAGTCGTCAGTCGTCAGGATGACTTTTCCTTCTTCTAGTTCTAGTTCCCTCCCTCTGTTTATTTTTAGAGATTGGGTCATTGAAAGTATTTTTTATTTTTGTTGTGCAGTTCTGTGGTCGAGGATATGTTGAAAAGTTTTCAGTTTTGTGTCTGTGTATGCGTGAAATTTATTTGTTTGTTTGCAGGAATGCGAGATGGGCACAATGTAGTTGATTTGTTGTCCTAGTTATTTTTGTGACTTCATTGGTACAGTCCACGCTGAGTTGCGATGAATAATCGATTGTTAACTGGCATAAATAATCGAAGGACCGTTATCAACGCAAGACCGTAAAATGAGTCGGAACATTACATTGGATTGATTTCGGTTGCCTTAAATTACTTGAGATCGTTCTAAAGTAAATCAATCCACACTATAACCAAGGCCACCACATTTGTGATTGTGATTGTCAATACTTAATGGGTATTTTTACGAGCGCCATAAAGCGTATGCAACACCTGTCGCTAACCCGATAACCGATAACAATGTTTCGCACTCGTATTCGCCCACGACGACACTTTCCGCCGACACTTTGGCGCAATATGCAAATTAAATATGATTTTGATTTGGCCAGGCTGCTAAGTCTCTCATCGCTGGTTTCATCCTACATAACGCCAACATGTCATCGTCGTCATTGTCATCTTAAAACTATTCAGAAAAACTGCTATTCCAGCCGAGCCGATGCGATGCTATGCCCTCCCCCATTTCGCCAGCTTTTTTCCCGCTGCTTTTCCTCACTTGCGTTGCATACTTTTGTGCGGAGCCCAGGATTCACAGGACTCGCAGGATTCAGGTTGTCGTGTTGTGCGACTCCTTCCCCTCGCCTCGTCGCTGCCACGTTGTATATTCATGTTCACGTGTAGATTTTATTAAACATATGAATTCATTATGTAAATGTTCTTTCTGAGCAGGGCAGGCACAAAAAAAAAACCAGAAAAGAAAAGAGAAACCCAGGGAAAATTGTATGGAAATTGTCGTCGCCGTCGCCATTTTCATTTCACATCCACAGTTGGGCAACGGTGGGTTAATGGGTTATGTGTTGTGATTTTTGAGCGATCAAACATGCCATGGAAACTCCCCAGCTCTTAATTTCCAACTTAGCAATCCAACACGAACTTTTCGGCTCTTTTGTTGATTTTTATGTAAGGAGCAAATTGGTTTCCCATCGGGAATAGAAAATGAAAAGAATAAAAGGTCAAACTAGTGAAAACGGGAACATTTTTAAAGGCCTGGCAATAAAAGATTTTATTCCGCAATGGAATATTTAGCGTAGCCTTGGCTTACCCGCTCTTTATTTTTACACAATACCATGTAATTTATTAAACGAATTTCCCTTTGCGCCTTGTTCTGTTTTTATTCGATTGTGATTGAATTTTCCTTTGTCTATTTCCTTGCAGGTGAGTCCTCCAGACGTGTTTCAACCATAAATAGCCTTCATTCAGCTGCAGCCGGTTATGTATTACGTGATCCATTTGGCGTTAATATGCTGAGTTAATGGACGAGTCAACCCTTTGACCCTTTCGTCGTTTTCGCCGTTACCCTGTCCAATGTGAGTACGGCTTGGGCGATAAAGTTGCGATGGTAGTGGACGTCCGTGAAGAGGGCGGGATACCGCTTGTCCCCGCACCGGCGAAAGCCAATTGCCAGGCCGCAGACCTCGTCGCTGCTGATCAGGGGATCCCCCGAGTCGCCGTAGCACAGACCTTCCCCCCGCTCCCGCTCAGTCGAGGCGCAAAAGACGCCGGCTGGGAGCTGGGCGAACCAGGGTAGACAGCTCTTGTCCGGCTCCACCGTGACGCTAATCGACTTCAGCGGCTGGTTGATGTTCATCAGGCTCCAGCCTGCGACCACCGGTGGCGGTTCGACGCTTCCTCGCCTCACGGCCAGCGAGCACAGGGGTATGTAGTTGACCGAGCGCGAGAACCCAATGGCCACCTTGACCCTCAGCACGGCGATGTCGTTGCGCAGGGTCTGAGGCGAGAACCTCGGGTGGCGCAGCAGCCCTGCCACCGGCCTGCCTTTGCCGAACTCCCTGGCTATCCGGTCGTGACCCGCTCGCACTGTCAGCTGCTCCGGCTTGGTGTTCTTCCTGAAGCAGTGCGCCACCGTCAAGACGTAGCGCGCACTGAACAGGGATCCCGCCGCCAGGAATCTGGGATCGTAGATCTGCAGCACGTACCCGAAACTCTGCTGCTGCACCGGTGTCCCCAGATGAAGGGCTCTGCCACATCTGATCACGCCTATGAGTAGGAGAAGCTGCACCGACTCCACCGCGAACTCCATCGCTTCGAAACTGCCGGAAAAGTCTATCGGATGCGATCGGATATGGGAGTGCAAGCCGTGGAGATTCGCATTCGATGCGGTTGCAAAAGATCATGGCAGATCATGAGCTGGCTAAAAAATACTAGTCCAAGTTGGTTGGTTGCTTGGTTAGTTTTGTTTTCAAATGAGATGGATACTATATAGTCTATACATACGGGATGTCGTTACTACTTGATTCTGTGTAACCTCTTGAACCACTTATGTTCATACTGTTGAGTATGAAAACAGCACAAGTAAATATCCAAGCAAAACAACCTTTAGTTCCAATCACGGCAGCCTGTCAGCCCCGCCTCCCATCTCAATTCCCCCACCGAATTCCACACCCACGCCCACGCCCGCTGTTATTGTTGTTCGCACACAATTAACACTTGAAATGTTTAACAGGCTTACAGTGTAGAGCCGGAGTGGCAGTCAGTCTCCGTCTGTTTGCGGGTGGCTCTGGGGGTTGCGGGGGTGATTGCAGCTTGGTCATGCGTGGCCACATTCCCACATCCTCGCACGCTGAGGCGAACAAGCAACAACATGCCACTTAATTTCATTTCTTTTCATTTGAGCCCAGCCGAAAGCGCATAGTGGGCCACAGGGGCCAAAGAAGTGGTTGGGACCTCGCTGATATTTCTTCCTTCTTTCCACTTGTATTAATCGCTTGTTATCGCTTCGATAACCTCTTGTTATTAATCGATTAACCTACTCTTGAAATAATCGCTTCCTCTTGTTATCGTACGAATACGTATTCGGTTTTTATTGCCAAATCATCGAACTGTTTATTTCTTAAAATCTTCAGAAACGGCATTATTTGTGAGGAATTGTTTCACAGTGCTTTCCCTTCCATCCACCCACTCCCTCCAGCTTCATCGTATTTGTTCTTCGTCGACATGTATTTTCTCCACTGGTTACTTATTTTTTCTCTCTCGTCATAAAGCGGCGTGAATGTAATCAAGGCGGCTATTATTCTTAGATTTGAGGCGAAAATGAAAACCCCCCGAGCAGAGAGCTCGCCCGTCTTTCTCTGCTCGACCTTTCTCCACACATCCTTTGGCTTGGCAACCCCAGTCTCGGGTTCAATGCGAGTACAAACAATGGGCCACGTATGTGTGGCATATGCGTGTCTTCCTCCGCGAGGGCAGCGGAATAAAAAAAAGAGGCAAACGCGCTGTGGCATACAAAAGCCTCATTGTTTGGCTCGCTGCTGCTGCCGCCGAAATGCTGCCAAAAAGTTGGGGGCTCCGACACATATAGCATATAAGTGTTGTGCTTAAATATGCAAGTCTATTGTGTGTGTGCCGCCTTCCTTTTCTCTCGCCATTTGTTTGAGCGCTCTGCTTTTTGGGCGCCGCACACATTTTTAAGTAACTTTCAAGCCCTCCTTTCACATCCTCACCCACTTTTCACATTCGCCCGTTCATATTCGCACTCACAATTCGCCATTCATTGGAATGAGTGCCCTGATTTGTCATGCAAATTCAATTAGCAGGTCGTCCGGCACAAAGAAAAACCACAGCCCCAAAAATTATGCAACAGTTAATCAGAAAAAGTGCAGTGCCAGGGCTGCACAATTGCCCCCTTACGAGCAACCTGCACGTAGAGAGAAAAACTACAGATTGATTTGGTCGATAGATATTCCTTGATATTAGCACATATATCAAAACAAGAAAGGAAGCTGATAGAGCCTTTTGCAGTTGAAACTTAAAGGTAGATAACGAGTAGACTCATCCAAAATCTATAGTGATTTTTAAAATTTTTCATATTGCTTTTTCTATGACAGCTATTTGATATAGTCGTTTGATTTTGATGAAACTTAATTCGATATTGAAGATCTCTCCAATGAAAGCTTTCTGATATATCCGTAAGATTCAGTCCGTTCTGACTTATGTACTGCGTGTTATAACTACACAACTTTTGAAACTGCTTGGCTACTGAAGTTGTGAACGTTGAAGAGTGTTTGAGTTTTTCCCTGTGTATGCATACACTCCTGCTGACCTCTTTCCACCTGCTGCACCACAGAAATTTTTTAATCGATAATGGCCGCGCCACTTGGAAATGACGATGACGACGACGACGACGACGGCGACGACGATGACGATGACGCCAGGCAGTCTGTTGTGAGGGTTCTGCGGCTCTTTTGGCCTATTGCGCCTGCTCTTCTTCTTGCCGGCACTTCCGGCCGGCGTTCCATTCCATTCCATTCTGTTCCGCAGCCACATTTGCATGGCTTTGGTTTGACTTTTCGGTGGTGTGAGTGGGTGAGTGGGTGAATGGGTGAGTTGGCAGTGTGGTTGCGATGGAGGCGCGTGGAAAGAGGCTTGCCAATGGCAAACAATTGCATTGTCATTTTTCATATGGCCCACGGCTGGCCTCGGTTTTTCTGGCAGGCAGCAACTGCACAGGATATACCTCTCGAAATTGCCTGGTGACGGTTTTATCCCTGCATTTCCATAACATAAATAGTCTATAATATATATGTATATTGATAACTATTCATAATATTATAAATTGCCAGCTTATTTGCGACTATTGTAATTGTAATTTTTGACTCTTGAGATAGTTTAGCATCCTGACTACCCTGCTGACACTAAGTATCGCAAGGTCCTGACGAGAATTTTCGCCATTTTGTTTGTTCCCCCATTTTATGGCTCTGCAACAGCTTCTGTGGCTACTGCCTGCTGCATGCAGTTTGCCCATTTTTTTGTCTTCGCGTCAATGCCGCAAAAGCCACTCGAAACATGTTTGCTTCGCCTGCACTCTGTACGTATATGCGGTTCTCGGTCTCCGTATTTCCCCCACCCGCCTACCCGCCTCCCCCTGTCCTCTTTTTTTGAGCACTCACCCACATGCCGCCCCCCATTGCTGAATGGGTAAACAGAATTATTGAAGCGCGTCGTTCAAAAATGTTTGGCCGATTCTGAACTGAAGCTTTGCTCCTTCCATTTCCGGCTTTTTGGACAGTTTGGTCCTCGTTTCTGACCGCTCCTGTTTGGCCGGTCTACGGTCTACGGTCCACGGGGAGTGGTGTAAAGAAATTAAAACGCAGTCGCTACCAATTTGGTCTACGGCGTTAACTGAAACGATGAGCGATAACAGTAACAGGTTTCCAGCCTAATTGACACGTACAACGTGTTGTCAAGATCATAATTGCTCTTGATTGCTGGGTAAATCCTGTTTAGGTATATTGCATTCTTTGGTTTTAAAGCTTTTTAGTTTTTTCTTCCGCCTGTTGTAGGCCCTCCTTTGAAAGCCATTTGATCAATACCCATTGCCTCGAGCAATTTTGTTCAAAATGACCATCTAACTGGAGGCACTCACTCCACTCTGCTGGCATAGAGCAGAATTTTTGCTTTTGCCGCCCTTTGTCGTTGTTGTGGGCCAACTTTTGACTGCTCAAGCATCAAATCATATTGCTCGACAGCCGTCCCGTCCCGTCCCGTTGACTCGCACGCAGGGGAAACTTTGTCAACAATGTTGAATAATTAAAATGCTCCCTCGGCATAAAGTCTGCGCAAAGAGAGGAGAGCGCCGGCTCCGTTTTATGCGCTCGGAAAAAAGTCGACCCCAACTACAGATGGCTTTAAAATTAGAAACTGTTTTGCTCTAATTCGCTGTTTATTTCATAATGCATCTTCATTTCATTTCAGATGATATGGTAAGACGTATAATTTAGAGGTTGGAAAGCACTTTTAAGAGTAATACCCCATTTTTGTCCAGTGCACGTTGTTGTGAGTTGACAGTTTGCCGAAAAGGCAGGACGGGCAGAACGGGAAACCTGAGCCCGAAGGCAGAGCTCATCAGCAATTCTCAATTGCTATTATAATATTTTTTGCCTTTGTTGCCGCTACAGCGTCTTGGCTTTCCATCTATGTCTGTGTGTGTGTGTGTGTGTGTGTGTGTGTGCCTGAGTCTGGTAAACACCTGATACAATGCCAAAAGGGCAGAGAGTCACACTCCCCTCTGCTCCTTGGCTCCTTATCCCGAAGCTTATCCTAGCCGGGATCCGGAATTCGCTTAATGCGCAGTCCCTGTGCAGCGGCGAAGTTTTGTCAGGCTAAAAATTCATCAACTTTGTTGCATAATATTTCAGTAAAGAGCATTGGGGATGAATGCTGAGGCTGGGGCTGGGGCTGAGGCTGTGTTGGTGTCATAAAATTAAAGCATTCTTTGCAGCGCCGACAGAGTGCAAGCTCCACTCAAATCCGAATAGTGCACTGGGGAGTTTTTTGGGGTAGGAGCCAAAGAGGCCAAAAAGGCCAAAAAGTGCGCCATAGAAAACATATTGTGGAATTTGTCAACATTCCTGGGGCAATGGCAATGGCAAAGGCAAAGGCAAAGGCTCCCTCTGCTCCGCAGGCGGCAAATTGGCTCGTAAATTAAATGAAGCGTACTTTCGCCCTAATAGAATTTTACATTTGCATTATAAAGCAGTGCAGCTGGAGTGGATTGAATGTGGGAGTGGGAGTGGGAGTGGGCGTGGGTGGGCGTGTCACGATTGTTGATTAGAAAACTTTTTTTTTGCTTGTTCCTGGCTGAGGGGAGAAGCGTCTATTTTGTATACCAGAGGCACCTGTATTTATTTTTTTGCCTTGCTACGAGACTGAGAAACAAGTGATCTATACGCTTCATAAGTTTTATAAGCGAAACAAACTGTACAATTTATTCCAGCCTGACACGGCTTTAATTTCATAATCAAGTTTGCCTCATGTGCTACCGAAAAGCCATAATCTCCATCCCCGGTTCACTGTGCTTTATGGAGATTTTCGCGGGCCATGTCCAGCCAAACCAGAGCTTCCGTATAATTTTGTATAATTTTAATCCAATTAAACTTAATTTACTTGTGTGCAGCTGAACGTAACTGTAAGCCAGTCGCCATTTTGGAGCCGCCTTCTGTAACTCCGGCGGAGCGCCTCGTATCCGGGAGTCGTAATTATTACCACTTACGGTTAAATACTCAAGTTTCCTGAATACATTTTTTGCCTGGAAAACTGTTCCTGGGAGAGAAAGTTAGGAGCGAGTGTGTGTGTGTGTGTGTGTGAGTGTGTGGCAGCCGCAGAAATTCCCGTATC